CCCACAGCCTTCAAGTCGGCCCCGATGCTCAGTGACCCCCCAAAGCCCACAGCCTTCAAGTCGGCCCCGATGCTCAGTGACCCCCCAAAACCCACAGCCTTCAAGTCAGCCCCGATGCTCAGTGACCCCCAAACCCACAGCCTTCAAGTCAGCCCCGAGGTACAATGGCCCCTATAGGACAGACAGAACTGTCTTGTGGGGTTCCTAAGCCTGCCACATCTTGTGAAGCAGCTAGTGGCTTTGAACCACCAACCTTTCTGTGAGTAGCCAAGTGCTTTGCTACTTTGCAACAAGGTCTCTCTCCATATCTTCCAAAACTCCACTGTCTGAGTCAGTCCTGACTCCCAGGGACCTCCCACCTGGTTCCCAATGACAACTCTTGAGAAGAGGCTGCTCATTTTTCTCCCCACGAGCAGCCAATGGCTTCGTACTGCTGACATGCCAGTAGCCACGCAGCACACCGCACACTGTGCCACCGGGAGGTTATCGGGAGCTCTCCCTTCTTTGGAAAGTCCTGGGTGTGTCTACAGGAAGAAAAGGCCTCCCCACTGCTTCCTAGAGCTGCAGCCTTCAGAGGAGCCAGTAGCCTCCCACCCCCAGAGGGCAAATGTGCCTGGGACCCCCTCTGTAGCCCATACCTGCGGCTCTGCTGCCGGACCTGCTCCAGTTCAAAGATGGTATAGGGCCGAGTGGACCGGTGCCCAGGCAGGCTTGGCCCTACAGGGGTCACGGGGATCATTCTGGGCAGAGACAGAGAGGCAGTCCCGTGATGAGACTTCAAACATACAGCCCACTCCCCAAACCCCACCTGCCTACGGACCTTCCCTGCCAGGAAGGAGGGCTGAGCACAGAAGACAGACAAGGCAGAGGAGAGCTAGTGCAAGTGGGGCTGGACATGGTAGTGTCTGTGGGGTCCTCCCCACTATGGCCTCTGAATGGACCCCCAAGAGCCAGCTCTGCCAGCTGTGGGTGGGGACTCACTGTCCGGTCACAGGTGTCTCCAAAGGACGGTCACAGGAGAGGCAGTGGAAGTGTGCCAAGAGCTGCCTGTTGGGAAGGACATATGTGAGGTGAGTGCCCGCCGGGAGGACCAAGGTGGCAGACCATGGCCACCGGGAGGCTTAGTCCTCCAGGGGCAGGGCAGGGTGCCAGGTGACAGAGGGAGGGCAGGCCTGGCCACAGTGGCTCACGTGCTCCTGCAGCTCCACATGCCTACTTCCGGACATCTGCCTCTACCTGTCCTGACCCAGAGCCAGCAGGGCTCCCCACGGGCTGCACGGGGTGCCTGTGGGTCTCAGAAGCCGCTGGTGGCTGAGGCAGGAAGCCTGCCACTGCTCAAGGAGGACTTATGCCCCCAACATCTTGAGGGTCCAGTGGTCACTCAGCCATGTCCAGAAAGCTAGATGTCTCCAGCCCAGAGAGGATCCAGCCTGCCTCCTCCTCTGCTGTACACAGGTCTGGGCTGCAAGGGCTTCTCAAGCTCTGACAGCCTGTCCCTCCCAGCCCACCAGCTGCCCTCCTCTCCGCAGGCCTCACCTCCGCATGACCGCCGCCTCATCAGCCAGGTAGAGTGGACTGCGCTCTTTGAGCTGCTTCCTCAGCGATTTCCAGCGGTCCTCCAGCAGCTCCTTCACTGGTTCCAGTTCCAGGCGGTTCAGCTGCAGGGGCAGGAGGCCAGGCAAACATTGACCACGAAGGCAGGTGGCCACAGAAGGGCCCAGAGAAAACAGCAAGCAGATGGAGGCTGGGCCCTAAGGAAGGGCCCCGGGTAGGGCAGGAGCATGGCCCTGGTGCTCACCCCACCCCCTAGGCGGCCCTGGCCTCACCTTGCTGTCCATCTCTATCAGGAGCTTGTCCACCATCTTCTGCCAGTCCTGCTCCTTCCCGGTCATCTTGGCCACCAGCTCCTGCATCATGTGGTTCAGCTGCTCTGTGGTGGCATCAAACTGGATACGGCTCACTTTGCTCGCTAGCGCGCTCTTGTCCGCTTTCTGCCAGGAGGGAGGAGAAGGCCCACGTGGATCAGGAGGGGCCCAGCCTGCAGGGGTCAGCGGGCTGCCCACCCGAAGAATAACCAGCAACAGCACACACCCTCCCGGGGGCCTATCAGAACACTGGAAGGCAAGCGTGAGACGTGGAGGTCTGGGAGCCTTTACGCATTCCCGGTGGGCGTGTAAGGTGGTGCCACGGATGTGCAAGTCTGGTGGTTCCTTTAAAAACCAAACTACAAGGGAGCTCTGGTGGCCTAGTGGCAAGAAGCTGCACTGCAATCCCAGAGGTGACGGTTCGAATCCACCAGATGCTCTGCTGGAGAAGGAGGGACAATCTCCTTCTGTACCATCAGATCTGATTTGACGGTACATGCACACACACACACAAAATAATAAAATTTAAAAACCCCACCAAACTACATTACCCAGCTGTGTTGTGACCAGACACCTGTGTTTTATTCAGTGGCCCTTTGTTGTTAGGTGCTGTCGAGTGGAGTGTGACTCAGAGCCACCGTATGAACAGAGTTGAACCCCGTCCTGTCCTGTGCCGTCCTCATCGTCTGACGCACTGGAGCCTGTTGCTGCGGTCACTGTGTTGGTCCATCTGGCTGAGCGTCTTTGTCTCTTTTGCCGACCGTGCACGGTTCCAAGCATGATGTCCCTCTCCAAGGAATAGCTTCTCCTGACGACATGCCCCAAGTATGCGGGGTGGAGCTTCGCCCTCCTTGTCTCCAAAGAGCACCCTCGCTGCACCTTTGCCAAGACAGATGTTCTCTTGGCCGTCCGTGGGCTACTCAGTGCTCTTCTCTAATACCACAGCTCAAAGGCATCAATTCTGTCATCCTTAGTCACCGTCCAGCTCTACTGTCCACACAGTGACCCCACATGACGGCATAATTGCCCCATAGGATTTTCTAGGTTATAAATCTTCACAGCGAAGTCAGCTGGAGACTAAGGTGCGCCTGATCTCAGCCACGGTCTTCGCAATCACTTGCTATGCCTCAGACAGCTGGGCAGTGACTAGGGATGATCGAAGAAGAATTGATGCCTTTGAGCTGTGACACTGAAGAAGAGTATGAATATGCCATGGACTGCTAGGAGAACAATCAAGTTCATCCTAGAGAGATTGAGACTGGCTGCTCCTTGGAGGCCAGGACTCTGAAGCTCTGACATTCTTTGGACATGTTGGAGAGGGACATCATGCACGGAAGGGTGGAAGGACAGCTCAAGGGAGGAAGACTCTGGACGAGATGGACCGACTCAGTGACTTGGGGAATGGAGGTAAGTGTGTCAGAGATGATAACGTTGTCTCAGGATACAGCAGGGTTCAGAGCTGTTATACATCAATAGGGTCGCTATGAGTCGCAAACGACTAGATGGCGCATAACAACAACAACAACAATCTTTGGTCACAGGTCTCCTGCACAGCTTCTGGGTGGACTCAAACCAGCAACCTTGCCCTTCACACTGCTGCACAACCGGGGTTGCTTTAAAAAGACCACATGACCACTCTGGACCTGCACACTCAGATCCAAGTACTTGCACACCAATGTGCACTGCAGTGGTCATCGTCCAGAAGTGGACAGAACACAAACGTTTATCAATGAAGGGGTGAACGGACAGAGAAAACGGGACGTGTCCTCACCGTGGAACATCATGCAGCCATCAAAAGGAATGATGTTCTGCTATGAACTGAAGTGCTAGCAGATGGGTGGACCTTGAAAGTGTCACGCTCAGTGGGAGAAGTCAAACTCAAAAGGGCAAACACAGTAGGATGCCCCTGAAATAAGCCATCTGAATAGGAAATACACAGAGACGCAGTGGTGACCAGGAGACAGAGGAGCGGAGATGGGGGTGGGAGTTTAAGGAGTGTTGGATTTGCATTTCGTAGTAGTGTTTTGCGCTGTGGTGCTGGAGAAGAGTATTGAGAGTACCATGGACTGCTGGGAAAACAAACTGATCCTTCCTGGAAAGGGTTAAACTGGGTGGCTTCTTGGAGGCAAGGATTCTGAGGCTCTGTCTAACGTACTTTGGACATGTTGGAAGAAGAGACCGGTCCTTGGAGAGGGACATCATGCTTGGGAGGGTGGAGGGACGGCGCAGGAGAGGAAGGCCCTCTCTGAGGTGGATTGATTCAGTGACTGGGGTAATTGGGATGGGAGTGTCAGAGACAGTGCGATTGGCACAGGACAGAGCGGAGTTTAGGGCTGTTGTATATAGGGTCTCTATGAGTCGCAAGTGACTCGACGGCACATAACAACAGTAGTGTTTGGACAATATGGTGAAGATGACTCGTGAGCACTGATGTATACCCAAGACTGGTGGAAACTGTGGGTGAGCTATCTGGTTCACCACAAGCTGCTTCTTGTGAGGTCATTGGGCTGTTCCACCTCACAACACCTCCATGACAACCAGGAGGGACCACTGTCTGGTCCTGTGCCCATCCTCCCAGTGGCAGCGAGGGTTCAGCCCAGCTGAAGCCACTCTGTCAGTTGTCTTGTTGGCTTGCCCTCTTTCTCGCTGACCCTCTGCTTTCTCATGCCTGGAGCCCTTCTCCAGGGGTTGACCCCTCCTAACAACAGGCCCTGATAACGGAAACCCTCCTGTCCCCGGAGAAGCATCCCCCATGCACTCGTGCTGGGATGCAGGTGGTCCCGAGCTTACCACATCCATCTCAATTTCCAGGTGTTCCCTGTTGGCCTTCTCCCGCTCCAGCTTCTCTATCCCCTGGTACAGCACCTGGGAGGTGGGGTGAGGGCACGCAGAGAGAAAGGGATGGGCAGGGAGCGGAAGGGGGGACGTGAAGGGGCCCCGCTCGCCCCCAGCGCACCACGAGGGCCCTCACGTTGATGTCCTTCTGTTTCTGCTGGTGGTCATCGAGGAGGTTGTTGGTGGTGGCGACGAGCTTCTCGCAGTCGCCCTGCACCTGCAAGATGGCGCTCTGCACGTGACCCAGCAGCTCCTCGTCCTGCGCAGGGTGGACAGAGGAAGCGTCGCTGACGCTGCTGGGTCACCTGGACCCCAGTTTGGTGTGCTGCCCTGACTCAGACCCTGCCCCTCGGGTCCCAGGATCCTGAGTGATCAGTGAGCTGATGAGCCCCGAGGGACAGGAAAAATAGCAGGCAGCTCCCAGAGTTGGGGTGTGGCGTTGACAGAATTACCGTTCTTTAAATAAAATGTTTATTTTATACTGGTTTACTTAGAAAGTTCATATACATTGTTTTTCACACCAGATCTTTCCTTACACGTTCCTCCACCCATCAAACTGTGCGACCTTGTGATTGATTCCTCACCCCAAATGAATTCTTAGGTCCATGCAGCGAAATTCCGGGAGGCATGGTCCCTTCTGTCCCCACCACCCTTCTCTCTCTCACTGGCATGCCCTTTGGAGAGAGTTGGGAGTGTTTTGAAGAGTGGTGTACATAGGTGCCCATGTCTGCTGCAGTTGGACGAGTGTCCCAGTGACATGAGGAGGACATATCTTCATGTCCAGCCAGCCTGGTCAGCTCCCTCATAGGCCCCTGTCCCTGGACCTAACACTGCCTGCTTTGATGTGACTCGTGAATATGGATGAGGGGAATTTTGAAAACTGGGCACATCCCCCTTAGGCCTCTTCCTGGGAGAGATGGCGGGGGGGGGTCACCTGGCTCTGGAGCTTGGTTTTCTTGGAGGGCCGCGAGGCAGCCAGGTTGTTGACCATGTCCTGGAGTTGCTCGTAGCGCTGCACCAGCAGGCTGACCTGGTGGCCCAAGTCCACGCTGCAGGCAGGGCAGGTGGCCTCAGGATCAATCTGTTTAGGTGACAAGCGAAGCACTCGGCTCTTGGAGGGCGGGGGCAAGCTCATGGACAGCAGTGTGGAGGAGGAGGTCAGCATGTTCTCGATGATAATCCTGAGCTTGTCCAGCTGGTGAGGGAAGGAGTCAGGCACGAGAGAATGAGTGGCTCAGGCTCCCTCTGGCCCAGCCCCACCATCGCCCTGGACGGCTTCCCCTCCACAGAGAAGACCCCTAGAGGCGCTGTCCTCACGTGGGCAATGAAATCAAGCTCCCAGGCTTCCATTACAGTGAGGGCAGGGGGTACCTAGGGTACCTAGGGCCCTGATGCATCTCGTATCAGGTGGCTGAGAGCTAGTCCCTCCCCTTCCAGACTGTTTCCTCATCTGTCCGCGAGGTGTCGCTAGTTCAGTGTGTGCATCCTCTCCCTGCTGGACCGGACAATGGTCACATCTTCATTGCTGGCCATACTGTAGGCGCTCAGTGTGTGTCCACTAGGTAGTGAACTGAGTACGCAAGGAGTGTAGCATTAATGCTGAAAGAAGCCCTTGCAGGAAGGCTTCCAGAACTTTCTACAGCCAGCCCATTGGTTCAGTGTCAGAAAGCCTCTCCTCTAGCCAAATCTTAGTGTGGCAACAGTCCCAGTCACTACGGCACCCTGGCAACACGAGAGTCCCACTCCATCATTCCCCATAAAAATGTCAGCAGTGCTTAGACTGGGGTCTCTTGTCCTGTGCAGGTATAAGTCCATCCACAGCCCCTTCTCCACACACAGATGATGAGTTCCCAGTAAGAGGAGCCATCCCTGGTGAATCGGCCCAGCTTCACAAGACTTCAGTCCTTAAGAAGAGAGGTTGCTGCGGCAGCCATCCTGGACCACGTTTGAAGCGTAAGGATGTTGAATGAGAGAATAGGAGAGACGTAGAGAAGCCAGGGGGTGGCTCGCTCCAGAGGTACCTCCTGTGGCCCAGGAGCTCCGCTTGTCCATCACCCGCAGGTGCGAGTGCTCGGCTCAGCGCTGCCATTGCTCACAGGTGCGCGTGCTCAGCTCCACTCTCTCCGCGCTCCCATCGCCCTCAGGTGCAGGTGCTCGGGCTTGGCTCTGCCACCGCCCACACATGCATACGATACATACACGCAGACTCCACACCCCCCTTCCTCCTCAGTTCACTGGGGCTTTGCTGTTTACAACCAGAAGAGTCTACGTGCTGCCCCCCACACCACGGGGCGCCTCAGGGGACAAAGAAGTTCTTTCTAGATGAAAGGAAGACACTTCCTGGGAAACTGAACATTTGGATGGACTCTCGAAGAGCAAGAAATAAGAGAAAAAGAGACTGGACGGACAGTCCAAGAGGAGCAACAGCGGGAAGAAGCAGAAGGATGCTCGAGAGACATGCAAGCTGCTCCTGCAGGCGGCCGGAGGGGACGTGCTCTCTGGAGGTTCAGGTGGGTCAACTGTCTCTCAAGTTCCACACCAGGCTCACGTCTGATCTGGGGATCATGACACGGCATTGCTCCAGCAAATGAGGGAAGACCCAGAATGTGTCCCCTCTCGGCCCCATGGCTTTTCCTGTCTGGTCCTCCCACGAGGGCTGTTCCTGGTTCACACACACTCTCCGATGGCCAAGGATGTTGTCATTAAAGACTTAATGGCAAATACCCTGAGAAAAGTGAAAGGAGAGCATGTGGAATGGGTGACGATATTTACAAGTTGAGTATCAGATAAGGACCCAGTCTTCAGTGTGTAGAAAGAACTCTTAGAAGTCAGTAATGAAAAGACTCTAAAATGGGTCAGCTAGGAGTCAATTCTGAGTCAAAGGCAATGGGGTGATGAGTGGTGCCCCTTGGGGTTTCCAAGCCTGTAAATCCCGAGGAAGCAAAGCATCCTTTCTCCCTCGGAGTGACCAGTGGGTTTGAACCACTGACCTTTGCTTACCAGGCCAGTGCTAGCCTGCAGCACCACCAAGGCTCCTTACGTGCAAGAAGCTAGAGGCAAAGCCCTGTGTGTTGACTGGTTCCACATGTGTGGACCAGGTAAACCCTCAGAGACAGAAAGCCAACCAGGGCTCCCACGGGCTGGGGTGTCACTGCTGCAGGCTGTAGGGTGACTCTGTGGGAAGAGGAAATGTTCTGGACAGAGCTAGTGGTAAGTTTTACAACGTGGTGAACTGAGTGAAAACTACCCTGTTTACAACTTCATGTGCATTTAAACTCAATTTGTAGTTGTTGTTATATGCCGTCGAGTCGTTTCC